ACTCAAATAGTTATGCACAACTTCTCTCCTTCTCACCCCATGTACCATCAGGATTCAGTTAGGGCAGCAGAGCTGTTATGAATAGTAGAGGAGTGTGTCTATTCCTACTATGCATTCTAGAAGTGGAGAAATAATCATGATGTGGGTTTAGCAATGCACTGTGCTCACTTTCTCACAGACCCAAGTCAAAACTCCACTAATCACCCAACTCCATAAGATTCTGTTTTCAGTGGTGGAACATGATGGTATTTTGTGTCTCTAAGAATTAGCATCAGTTCAGAGCCAAGGTCTAGTAATCCCTGAAAACTCTGGTTATTTTCCCTTCCCCAGTGCATACTCACCTTAGTCAGTGGCTCCAGGTTCCTTTCAGAGGATTGGAGACAGAGAGAGTAAAATAGTCTGGGGCTGGCCCTGTGGTGTAGTAGTTGAGTTCTGTGTACTCTGCTTTGGCGGCCTGGGTTTGCAGGTTTGCATCCTGGGTGCAGACCTACACCACTCATCAGCCATGCTGTGGTGGCAACCCACATACAAAATGGAGGAAGGCTGGTACGGATGTTAGCTCAGGGTTAATCATCCTCAAGCAAGAAAAAAAAGAGGAAGAGTTGGCAGCAGATGTTAGCTCAGGGAGAATCTTCCTCAGCAAAAAAAAAAACAAAACAAAACAAAAAAGCCAAAACCCAAAAACATCTGCCTGAAGCATTGGCACAGATGGACAAGTTGGAGTTTGAAGGGTAGCCAACAAGCCAAGCCTGTCTGGCTGCCAAATGGGAATGTGATAAAGGATCTTATGGAGGGGTCAATGAGAACCAGTTACCTCTGGATAGCTACTGTCTCTGTGGGTTTGCAGTTATACGTCTGGACCTGGGGGTGCTGGTGGTTAGCAGGGCTAGCAGTTGGGAAAAACAAGCTGGATGCAGAGTGGAGACTGAAGACAAACTGAGACCCTCCAGGAAACTATGTTACTTATCTTACGGTAATAACCTTCTGAGGAACTGGCTACCACTTCACTTCTTCCTTCTAAATATCTTAGAAATTCCTCTTTTGCTTAACTCTAACCAGGAACCATATAGGGAAGAGGATTTGGGGAAACACAGTTTCCAAGCCAGCATACATAGTTTGCACATACTCCCACTGAAAGAGAGCCAAATTTATATAGCTCAAAGTTCAGGGTCTCTAGGTGAGGTGCAGTCTTCCTATTTGTTGTGCATGTGGCTGCACATGATTCCCTAATTTATAACCCTGACTTCCCTCTTCTCTATACCCACTACCTAACAATATAGTAGACAGGTAACTGTAATAATATACAATGGATCAAGAATAAGATTGGCATTGGACTTCTTAAGAGCAATTCTGGAAGCTTCAAGATGATGTAAAGATGCTTTCAAGATTCTGAGAGAAGACTTATGTTTCTGGCCATGATGGAGTAACTGGTTCTAGACTGGTTTTGGATGGAGTAACTGGTTCCTTCCCACTATGGATAAATAGAGAATTGGACAAAATATATGAAACAACTGTTTTCAGACATTGGTAACAAGAAGCAGGTTTTGGGATAAACCTCCCAAATGTGTGGCATAGCTCAGAAAAGAGAGAACTGTGCAGGTCAAAATGCCAACATATACAGTCGTGCACTGTATAATCACATTTCAGTCAATGATGACTACATATACAACGCTGGTCCTGTTAGATAATGGAGCTGAAAAATTCCTATTGCTTAGTGATGTTGTAGTCATTATAACATCATAGCACAATGCATTACTCAGGTGTTTGTGGTGATGCTGGTGTAAACAAACCTACTGTGCTGCCAGTTGTATAAAAGTATAGCACATATAATTACGTACAGTACATAATACTTGATAAGAAATGACTATGTTACTGGTTTGTGTATTTACTAAACTGTGCTTTTTATCATTATTTGAGTGTACTCTTTCTACTTATAAAAAGAAAGTTTACTGTAAAATAGCATGCCATGTTACACTGGCAGCAGACTCCTACATGTCATGTTTACCAAATCTCTTGATTGCATCATTTTCTCTTGTGCTTGATTTAACCTTGTGTTCTGTTTATCATGGCCCCTAAGCATACAAAATCCACTGCTAATGTTGCCAGTAACAGGCCACGTCAAGCGACTGACCTGGAAAGGAAATTAAAAGTGATTAAGGGCTACAAAGTTAGAAAATCAGTGATAGTTATTGCTCACTAGTCAGGCATTTCCCATTCCACCATAGCTACGATCTTGAAGAACAAGAACAATGTGATGGGAGCTGTTAAAGGAGCTGCTTCGTTGAAGGCAATGAAACTAACAAAAATTCGACAAGGCCTATATCAGACACGGAAGTGTATCAGACACAGAACTCCATTCTTCTCAGCACCAAGACAATCAGGGCCAAAGCAAAAGGTTTGTTTGCAATGTTGAAAGAAAAGACTGGATCCAACCATGATGTTGAATTTACTGCTGGCTCTGGATGGTTTAAACAATTCCAGAATTGCTGTTCATTACATAATGTGGAAGTGAGTGGTGAGTCTGTGAGTGCTGATGGGAAGGTAGCTGAAGAATTTTTGGAAACTCTAGATAAGCTGATTGTGGAGGAAAATTGCTTGCCAAAGCAAATATTCAATATGGACGAGAGCTCCTTCTTCTGGAAACAAATGCCTGAAAGGATTTTCTCCATAAGGGAGCCAAATCCATGCCGGGTTTCAAGGCTTTTAAGGACAGGATAACAGTCTTGCTTGGGGGCAATGTTGTAGGCTACAAATTGAAACTCTTTGTGATCTGGCTCAGTGATCTGTGTGATATGCTCCAGGACCTTCAAGCATATCAATAAGCACACACTACCAGTGTTCTACAGGAGCAATAAGTCATGGATGACGCAGTTCCACTCCCAAGATGCCCTCCTGATTTGCCATGCCAGTGAAATGTGGAAGTACTGTTTGGAGAATAACATACCTTTCAAGATTTTGCTTATTGTTGTTGATGTTCTGGACATCCTCCCTTTATTGGTGATCTTCATTCCAATATCAAAGGGGTGTTTCTCCCTCCAAACACCACCTCTTTGATTCAACCATTGCATCAAGGAGTTAGAGTAGCTTTTAAGGCCACTGTCTGAGGAGGACCTTTGTGCAGGCTATTGCTGCAACTGAGGATGACACTAAGAAGACACTGAAGCAATTCTGGAAAGATGACAACATCTATGACTGCATCGAGTACCTTGGTTGGCTTTGGGGTAATGTCACCAAGGAGTGTATGAAGAAGTGCATCTGGAAGAAGACACTCAAGAGGTTTGTCCGTGACTTCAAGGGATTTGCCAAGGATGAGCAGGTTGCAAAAATCAGCAAGGCTGTGGTTGAGATGGCAAACAACTTGAACCTGGGTGTGCACACAAGTGCCTTTCATGAAAAGAACTAGAAGACAAAACAGACAGGATCTAAGAAGAACCAATCCAAAAGGTAAAAATGGGAAAAAGAAAAAAAAAGCACGCAAGAAAAAAGAAAAGCAGGTTTCCTGGGTAGGAAATGATTTCAGCCTTAGATACAAAAGTGCTAAATCCGTGAAACTGATATTCCTTTTTATTTTGTGTCATGAAAGTCCCTACTTACATTTTTTTTTCTTTTTTTTGAGGAAGATTAGCCCTGAGCTAACATCTGCTGCCAATCCGCCTCTTTTTGCTGTGGAAGACTTAGCCCTGGGCTAACATCCGTGCCCATCTTCCTTTACTTTATATGTGGGACACCTACCACAGCATGGCTTGCCAAGTGGTGCCATGTCCGCACCAGGATCCGAACCAGCAAACCCCAGGCCGCTGAAGTGGAACGTGCACACTTAACCGCTGTGCCACTGGGCTAGCCCCCTACTTACATTTTTAAATTCCATTAAATGTCACCTCTCTGATATCCCCAAACATTTTGTTTGTATCTCTTTTGGCATTTGCAGTCATTTCTTGCTTTGTAACCCTCTTGGGGTGATTCTGTAGGAGTAGTAAAATAGTTAAGAGCAGGGCCCCTGATACTGGTGTATTTATAGGTGAGATGACCTGATGTCTGAGGTTTGCTTTAAATACTCCAACAAAAAATAAAAAAGGGGAATACATAAAACAAGATTGACAAAATGTTGATTTGCTGAAGCCGTGTGATGGATGTTTGGGTGATCATACTACTGTTGCTCTCTTTTGTGTATGTTACAAAATTTCCATAATATAACAAAACAAAAGCCCAGTCTCAGAAGACAGCCAGACCTTGGTTCAAACGGTAGTTTCACCATTTACTAGCTGACTGACTCTATGTAAGTTTCTCTATATGGGAATAATGTTTCTCAAAATGGGAATAATGTATGGCCATTAGGGTTCTTGTAAAGATTAAATGAGACAGAATTTGAGACATCTAGTACAAGGCCTGGCCCTTAGTAGTTGTACTAATAAGGGTGCCTGCTTGCAAGCAACAGAAACTGGCTCTGGTTATGGCTAATCCTCCTGACACGCAGATACTTGCAAGGCAGAGGTAGGACTGGAGCTCGGGTCTCTGATTTCTAGACCTAGAGCGTTTTCTATGTTATCACACTTGTCTAGAACTTTTCCTTGGTTTGGTGCTTTGCAATTTATGCCTTCTAACACGCTGGAACATGGTTTGGGCACACGTCTGGAACTTAGGACACTGGGGACTGCAGGGTGGCCTTGGGTTAAGGGGTGGTTATGGGGCAGAGGTGACTCACTGACGTTTCGTGGCTGACAGCGTGTTGGTTGCTAAGTGGACGCTGGTACCCCGAGCCGGCGCGGACCAACCGTCTCGCTCACTCCGGGTCCGGCTGGCCTCGCAGCTCCTCACCGGCTCCGGGCGGGCCGCGCCGCCTGCCCCCCTGCCTGCCTCCTCTGGGTCTCAGCGCGCGCCCACTCTGCCGGCCGACTCGCGGCGCCAGCCCGGCGGCTAGTCCCGCGCTCGCTCTCGCTTGCGGCAGTGGGCGGGACCGCAGGTCCCTGGCTCGTGATTGGCCGAAGCGCTGGGGCGCCCCTTCTCCGCCCCCTTCGACGGGGTGAGAGGTCAGGGGAGCGTCGGTCGGCTGGGTAGACGATGGCGGCCGTCTGGGTGGGCGCAGCGGCGCTCGTCGCGGCCGGATGGCGTGGGCGTCGGTCGCCTCACCGGCTGATGCGGGGCGCGGCGCTGTGGACCCTGAAGGTGAGGAGGGCCGGGGCTCCGAGCCTTGCACCGCCCAGGGGTGCCCCGTGCCGCAGAGAGCGGCCCGGCGGTTCCCGGCGACAGCCGCGACCCGGTTCTGCGGCAGTCGGCGCCTCTCCCTCCCTCTCCCTGCGGGCTTCGCGCTGGAGCGGGCGGCGCAGGCGACCCCCGCTGCGGCTGGTGCTCCGGGGCTCGCGGAGGGCGGAGGGGCTCCGGGAGCAGGCGGGCTCGGGTCTCCTGCTCTCTCGGCAGCGGCTGACAGCCACCTGGCAGCGGTGTAGCTGCGTGTCTGGTGCACCGGTTCTTGTGCCTTACGGTTTTGGCTTCGTCTTGAGCTTTCCAGAGTGTGTTTTTAAGGATCCTTACAGTTTCCTTTTTCTCTTGCTTCTTTCCTGCTTTGAAGGGACGCTGAATCCCTGCTGAAGTCGAGTTAGGATTGTGAGTTTATCTCAACTCTTAAAGTATCATACGACGTCAGGATTGCTACTATTTACATTTGAGCTGAAAGCCTGTTTTAAATGTATTACATCACAGAGTTCTATATTTGCATCCTATGAATTTATTTTTCTTTTCTGTGTGTGTAGTGGTTAGCCTGACTTTTGTACTGTTCTAAACACGTTTTGCCCGTGTTTTGTATGTCCCAGGATTTCATGGTGGCAGCCTTGGCTCATATGTTGGAGTGTTTGTGTGTGGCTGTAAACACTTTTTCTCTTCAACATGGAGTCTCTTGTAATTTCTGAGCAAAAACTACCTAACTTACCTTGTTAATAGGACTTGTAGGTCACTTGCACAAATTCTTTAAAATGAAGTTCTCCGTGAAAACCACCTGTCATCTGGTTCAGTCTGCTTGTTAAATTTACGTTTTTTTTTTGAAGTCTTTTAAAAATTGTCATATGACTTGATTTATTGTCATTGAACTTCAGAATTGGAAGACACTTTCAAGGTCCTACCTTTTAAAGAGAAGGCAGGGGCTGGTCTGGGTGCTGGTGCTTAAGTTCTGGCACTCTGCAGTGCAGGGTTGGCAGGTTCGGATCCTGGGTGAGGACCTACACATGCCTCATAAGCCATGCTGTGGCAGTGTCCCACATACAAAACAGAGGCAGATTGGCACAGGTGTTAGCTCAGTGACAATCTTCCTCAGCTAAAAGAGGAAGATTGGCATCAGATGTTAGCTCAGGACCAAGCTTCCTCACCAAAAAATTTTAAAAAATAAAAAAGAGGAGGAAACAGGCCAGGTGAGCAGTGTGAGAGCTGGAACTGATCATGGAAATGGAAGCAAGCCTACACCTGTGTTAGCATTGTGTGATCTTCAGAGAGACTACCCTTGAAGAGCACAATGGTTTTCGTGTTGTAACCAATTTATTCTGTAATCTTTATTGTTCTTTAATTTTTTTCATTTTTCTTGGCCACATCAATTGCAATTGCAAGACTCTGCTGCATTTACATAGGAGGCAGCATGGTGCAGTGGAAAGGCATGGGCTCTGGAGTCACACAGGGGCAGTATTGTATATTAGACAAGTCTCTTCACTGGCCTCAGCTTCTTCCTTTCGACTATTTTTTCCTTTCCAACAAATCTTTATGGAATGGTTCCTCTAGGGAATGAATATAGTTTCTGCTCTCTTAGAAATTTTAGTCTGTTAGGGAGAGACAAATAAGTGTAAGATGCTTTTCGGGGAGAGGTCCTGGTGTTATAAGAAAATAAAATAGAAGGATTTGACAAAGTCAAGATTTTGAGCTCTATGTCCTAGATACTGTTATGGGGCCTTACTTGAATTAATGTATCAGGATGTTTGCAACAGCCATATAATCCCCATGTACAGATGAAGAAATTGAGGCACAAAGTGTTATGTAACTTGCTCAAAACTACAGAACTAATAAGTGGCAGAGCTAGGATTTAGAACTCCAGAACATGCATTCTTAATCATACAATACTGCCTAAAGTAAGGGAGTGTTTTCCTTTAGAAGTGAAAATTGAAACAAGTTTTGAAGGACAATGTAACTTTTCTAGGCAAAGAGAGAAGAGATGAGTATTATATGTGAGAGAGCAGCACATGCAAAGGCCCTGGGGCCAGAAGGAATGACAAGATAGAACAACTAAGAAAAGCCTTCTGAAGCTCTGGTACAGAGACTAGATGGTGCTGGGGAGGTAGGTAAGAGTCACACCATGTTGGGCCTTGTAGACCATGCTATTACTCATACAGCATTACTCGTTCATATTAGGTTTGTTCTTTATCTTATAGCAATGGGAAGCCATTCATGTTGGAGGTGGGAAGGATTATACTGATGTATTTTAGATTGGTGGGGCTAAGACAGAGGAAAGTTATTGTACTTACTGCTATACACTTGTTGTACACTTACTGTACATTATATAAGTTTTGGTTTTTCCTACCCGGTTTCTTCCTTTTAATGTATTGGCAGAGACTGCATCTTGTCTACTTCTGTGTTCTTGGCACACTGTTTGACACAATAATAGGTGCTCAATGTGTGACTGTACTGATTGGAGTTAGGTGTTTGCCAGTGAAGACTTCCTCCTGGAGGTGGAAGAATCTCTGAAGTTCACTGTCGCTTTAGGGGAACTTGAGCTGCTGGGTAGCTCCTCTCTGTGCTTCTCTTCTGTGAACTTGAAGTGTGCTCCACTGAGTCTGTATTTGAAGCAGAACTTTTGGAAGATTTTATTCCTGCCAATTCTCTCTCCACCCCTGCAAACCATTTGGTTGGTTGGAAAGCAGACTGCTAATTCTCAACTGTAGTCTAGAGAATTCTAATCATTCTTTGAAGCCAATTAACAGAATTTGTTTGCTTTTAGGATATATGTAGAGTGCACATTTTAGTCTTTCCTTATTTATTTTGTGCTTTTTAAACATATGTTGGTTAAATACCTAGTTTTTTCTTCTGTGTACATTTTTCAGTGGCTCCAGGATGTTGGGTTTAAGGTAATTGCTGTAGTTTATTGAGCTTTTATACGCTTTATATGGTTTTTATATGTTATCTCTTATCCATGTAGTAACTAGGTACAGAAGCCCAGTTTTGCAGAAGAGGAAACAAAAGCTCAGAGCAGTTAAGTAACTTGCTCAAGGACCCAACTGGCTGAGGTAGAATTTGCACCTTGATGGTGGGATACCAAAGGCTTGCTTTTCCGAGTACAGACTGTCTCTGATTGGAGTGGTGTCATTATATGAAGCATTCATGACGCTTGACTGCTTAAGCTCTGTGTTCCTTAAAATCCATGATTTTCTTTGCTAGCCATGGAAAAGAATGGTTGAACATATCCTAATGCTTTAGAATTGCCCAGAGGTAAATCTTTGCAACATGCTGATGGATTTCTGACAATCATTTGGGAAAAAAATCTTCTAAGATTATTACAGAAACCAGTTTCTGGTATAATAAAATGCTTTTGGATACTCCTGTATTTATACATTTACTTTTTGGATTTTATTCTAAAGAGGTTCAGAGCAGAGGAGTGATTGGTAAAACCCTTTTCTAAATAAAGGGGAAAGATGGTGACATTTTTGATCAAGAGAGTGAAGGAAAAGGAGTTGTTTAAATGATTTCAATTAAAAAAAATGTGGGTAATTGGGAGAACAGGGATGAAAAAGGAAATTTGGGAAGGGAAATTTTCTTTTTGGGGGGTAGAAATGTAGTTTTTCATTTTAGGTATCTGGAGTTAGATGACTACAAGAGTCTTATTGAATTTGCAGGAAGAAAGGGAAAGCAATGGCTGGTTTTTGGGTCAGTGATCTGATAAATTGAATAAATACTCAATCTTATTATCCTAAATTAGGATCTGGAAGAAGGAAGAAGAGAATAGGATTTAGAGGAATGGCTTGAGAGGAGATGGTATAGCATTTACTCGTTCATTTATCTAAAGAATTATCCATCCATTCAAAAAGTGTGTGGGGCATCTACTAAGTGTCTGGCACTGTGGTGTGCACTGAGGAGACCAGAAGAAATGAAAATATGTTCCTTCACTGGGTCCCTGGAGTAGACAGGTCAAGGGATAAAGACTGAAGGAAGAATTTGATAAGGTCTTTGGTCTTTAATGAGAATAATTTCAGTAGCATGATAAAGTATCATATGCGGAAATATTGTTTTGAAGATACTCTCCAATAGTGAAACAAATAGGTATTTTTTTTGGAAAATGAGGATAGTATATGATTAAAAAATTAGTTTATTTTAAATGCTTATTGACTTTCACTTAAAAAAATCATAAACTGTGGTGGGATCAATATAGTAAGATCAAAATAAAAGTGAATTTCAAAAGTGTTGGAAGATGTAGACATAATTTCAGTCAGGAAAACTAATACAGCATCCATGGGACACACCTGGTGGCTTAGAACAACACAAATTTATTCTCTCACAGTTGTGGAGGCTAGAAGTCTGAAATCAAGATGTCAGCAAGGCCATGCTCCTTCTGCAGGCTCTAGTGAAGAATCCTGCCTTGTCTCTTTGAGCTTCTGGTGGCTCCGGGCATTCCTCGGCTTGTGGCTGTATCACTCTAGTCTCTGCCTCTGACCTTGCAAGGCCTTCTCTTCTTTCTCCCTGTGTGTCCTCTCTTCTTCTTTCTTTTATAAGGACAGTTGTTGGATTTGGGGCCATGACACTTTCCAGTATGATTTCATCTCAAGACCCTTTTTCTAAAAATGGTCACATTCACAAGTTCCAGGACGTGCTACATCATTTTGGGGCCACTGTTCAACCCACTACACCTCTATGTGCCAGACACTGTTTAGTGGTGGGGATATAATAGTGAATGTTTCTGCCCTCCTTGTAGTTATATTTGAGTAGAGGAGACTGACAGTATTCTCATAAATACATAAGTTCAAAGAGTGGTAAGTGCTCTGAAAGGAAAAAACATAGGGTAATGGGATAGAGTGGTGGTGGTGTTGGATGAGGGGTTACCTAAGGAAAACGGGAGACATTTCTGAGCATATGGCATTTGACCAGAAAACTGACCCAGCCTACCTTGTGATGATCTGGGGGACTGTCATTCTAAGGGAAGG